GTGTCTTTTTTTTCCCAATTCTGAGCAATCAGTATTCTTGCTGCTGTGATGCAATACAACATAAGATTCATTTCTTTTCGATCCAGATTCTCCATAATACCCAGTAAGAATAATTGCGGTGTAAATTTTATCTTTTTCCTAAAAATCTGTTGGAATTTACTTACTTACTTTGGAGAATTGATATTGGCCCCTTACTCACTCACTCAAGGGGGCTTGCATGGATATACAAACACCATAGGGAAGAAAGAAAAATAATAAAATAATCACACACATACACACACACACACACACCACCCAAGTGACAACACACACATTCCTACCAGCCATTTAACGGGGCTCCGTTCAACTCTGGGGTCCCTGGACCCGCTGGCAGAACCACGTCTTCAGGGCCTGGGGGACCGGTTTAATTCTCGCAAGGATGATGTTCCAGAAAGAGGGAGCCACCACTGGGAAGACCCCTTTTCTGGGTCCTGCCAGATGCATCTCCTTAGGGGAGGGGACCCCCAACAGTCCTGGCCTCCCCGCTTTAGTGGGTCAGGTAGATGTGGCCGGCAAGAGATGGTCCCTCAGATGTAGACCTTTTCATGGTGAGGTGTTTGTAGGATGGGCTGTGAGGAGCCCCATAAAGGTGCTTTGGGGGAATACAGCAGTGGCCAAAATTGTGGAAACCTTTTGGGGAAAGTGTATTTTTGAGGTTGGATGGCTAATAACACCACTTTTTTTGGGGGGAGTAGTACCATAAAATTATATATCAATGGAAAGATAATTTAATCAAGAATGTCATGCAACGAAGTTTGTTCAAGTATCTGTATCGTATTCTATGAAAAGCTAGAGACAAATAACCAGAAAAAGGAAGCACAACTTGCTTAGGTTGATCTCAGGTAGCTTTCCTTCATCTGATGGTAGCCAATGAGCGTGAGTGTTTAGAGAGCCAATCAGGTGTCACCTTGTTTTGGCAATGAGCCAATCGGATCACAGTAGGATCCAGTTATTGATATCATGTATTGACACTGAGAGGAGGACATTTGTCAGTGTGTTATGTGATGGCTATCAAGTTGGTTAGGTTTTTTTTGTGTTCTTTCATTTAGTGAGCTTGTAAAACATAATAAAATTGAAGTCATGGTGCAAAGAGTTGACTGGTGGCCCAGAAAGCGATGTAAAATAGTCTTATTAAGTGAACAAGGCTACAGTTATAAAGAAATTAGAAGAAAAAATGGTGGAAACTTAACCAAAGGTGGCATTTCTACTGTACACTTAATTCTTGATTAAATTATCTTTCCATTGATATATAATTTTATGGTACTACTCCAAAAAAAAAAGTGGTGCTATTAGCCATCAAACCTCAACAATACACTTTTCCCAAAAGGTTTCCACAGTTTTGGCCACTGCTGTAGTTTCATCCAGTGATGCATTATTATTTATGTCTCAATAGGAAATCAAACTCTACATATCATCGCTGGTCATTTTAGTGGTATGATTCTCAGAGATTATACAGCATTCAGGTGTTCCCAGTGGGCCCATCTCTGCTGTGCTAGAAGGTTTAGAAATAATAATTATCTCACAAAAGTCTGACTTCAAAGAGTTAACGCGATCATATATAATGGGAAAATGCTCCCATTTTGCGATAATAGAACTGAATGCAGCAAAAATCTCATTGTACATAGTCCGAAACTGCACAGGCAGCAAAAGTCTTGTTATTTTTCAACTCTGGAAGAAATAGTCGAGTCTCTTCTCTATTCATTATAGCCTACTTTTATGTAAAGTCTGTTGAAATAGAAAAATCCCCTAGGATACGCCATTTGCTTTATTAAACTATCAACTGGCGGAACAATTAATCACTGGAGCGGCTTGCCTCCAGAGGTTGTGGATGCTCCAACAGTGGAGGTTTTTTTAACAAGAAGTTGGAAAACCATTCGTCCCAGGATCTCCTGCTTGAGCAGGGGGTCAGACTAGAAGACCTCCAGGGTCCCTCCCAACTCTGTTATTCTGTTTTTATGTTTTTTTTATTACTGGCAAGAGATCTATTCTTGTGCTATTCTTGCTTGCCTGTTTAGTGTGGTTTTTTTTTTTTTTTGCTGTTCAGCTGTATTTCTTTGGCCATTCCCTTCAACATGAAGGAGGCACCTTTGTTCTGAGAAATTTTCAAGAGCTTTTGCTGGGCTGTGGTAAAAAGAAAAAAGGGTGGTGCTGGGGAGATGGGGAGCACAGCTATGCGAGGGTGAAAGCTTTGTGAATTTGTGACAAACCGTTGCCCGAATGGTTGAAGTTCTGCTTGAGCCAAAGGGGTTGGACTAGTCCAGGGCTTTTCAACCTTTTCACCCATTGTACCACTTTTAGAATAGGGCAACATCCGAGGACCACGTCGCCTAGCAAGGTCTCAAAAACTTGACCCCCCCCAAAAAAGGGAAAAAAGTGATGAAGTACAGGTAGTCCTCGACTTACAACAATTCGCTTAGTGAGTGTTCAAAGTTACAATGGCACTGAAAAAAGTGCCCTCCAAGCCACAGCCGAGCAAGACACCTCCCTGCCCGCCCGGCCGCGTTCTTCCTCCTGTCCGAGGTTTCCATTGTTGTGAGCATTTCTGTTGGGGATTGGCAGAGGGGGTGGGGTGGGGGGTGTTTGGTTTTTATTCCCCCCCCCTCCCGGCTGCTGGGTGGTTGCAGCAGGTTTTGGTCCCTTCACATGACCCTGGGACACTGTGACCGTCATAAATATGAATCAGTTGCCAAGCCTCTGAATGTAAATCACAAGACCCTGGAGAGGCTGCAACATTCCAGCTGATCGGCGCTTCTTCTGGGCTCAGCAGAAGCTCCAGGATCAGCGCCGAGCTCCAGCTGGATCCTGGCGCTGATCCTGGCGCTTCTGCTGAGCCCTGACAGCCCTGCAGCTCCAGCCGTCTCTCGCTCAGGCTTGTGCGGTGCTGCCACCGGTTCAGCTCATTCCCCCCCCGCTACCGCTTTTCTAGGATGGTCGCGTACCCCCTGCCAGGTGCCAATGTACCACAGGTGGTACCCGTACCACTGGTTGAAAAGCCCTGGACTAGATGACCTCCAAGGTCCCTTCCCACCTTGTTATTCTATGCTTGGTGTAGGGAAGACATGAGGGTGAGCAGATGAGGAATGTAGGCAGTCCTCGGCTTAACGGCCGCGACTCGGCCCCAAATTTCTGTTGCTAGGTGAGACACTTTTAAAGTGAGCTTTGCCCCATTTTACGACATTTCTTGCCATGGTTGTTAAGTGGATCGCTGCAGGTGCTCAGTTAGTGCCCCGGTCGTTAAGGGAATCTGACTTCCCCCGTTGACTTTGCTCGTCAGAAAGCCGCAAAAGGGGATCACGTGACCCCCACACACCCGGGACGCTGCAACTGTCGTAAATACAAGTCAGTTTCCAAGCAGGTGAATTTTGATCACGTGACTCTGGGGATGCTTCCACGGTGGTAAATGAAAAACGGCCGTAAGTTACTGTTTCTCTGTGTCGTTTCAATTTCAAACGGTCACTAAATGAATTGCTGTAAGTCAAGGACTGCCTGTGATGGGTCCAGGTTCATATGAGTGACCATTTTCTGAAAAACCAATCTGGGGCAGCAAAAGGGATTTTGAAATAATGTGGAGAAAGGACTTGTTGCTTTTCTGCAAAAGATGCATGGTTCTGCTATTAAGCTCGGCCACTTGGGGGCTCATAGCAGCATCTCTAACCCAGTGGACCCCAACCCCTGGGGGTCGTGGCCCACTACCGGGCCGTGGGTCAGGCTGCCCGGTGTGCGCATGTGTGTGTGTGTGTATGCACTCATAGCCATTCGCGGTAGTGCCGTGGCGAAAACGGCACCACGTGGCGAAAACGGGGCAGGGCTACTGAGTGTCACACGGACGCTAGCGCCATCCCGTTTGCGTCATACGCGTGCTCGCGGCCCAGTTTGCACGCACGGGCACGTCAAATGCTTCCCCCTCCGTTCCTCACCGGTCGGCCAACCGAGAAAGGTTGGGGACGTCTGCTCTAGCCAGGTGTGTCCACACTTTGTCTTCTGTAACCTGGGTATTCTCATGCAACGAACGTGGATTGTGTGTTATATTCCTTACCAGGAATACAAATATTCTTTATGGAAACTCAATTATCTTGGGGTTCTTCCAGGGTCCTCTCAACTCCATTGTGACTCCCTGTTGTGGGAGGAAAAATCTTCATCAGGGTCCAGTCCAAGCCGGGAATAATCAAAATGGAGACTGCTTTAGAAAGAAGGTTGCAGTTTATTGGAGAGGAGACCCAGACAGAAAGATGGCTCTGGAAGAAAAGAGAGAAGGCATATGTAGGGAGTGGGTTTTTATACCCTCTGGAGCCTTTTGTTTGGAGTTGTTCCTGTTTGAGGCTTTGTGTTTCCTGTGTCATGTACTTTGACCTGAGTCTGAGTGTGCCCTTGTGGTATTGGTGGTTTAATCCTATTATGTCCTGTATTAGAGTTTGGGTAGGGTATGTAGATTTTAAAGGTCTTTGTCTTCCTAATCTCTTCAGCTGCTAGCTGGAAGACTCCAACCTCCCGAATGGATTATTACATCTGCATTTCTAAAAGCTGGCTTCTGCCTAGGGCAGGGGTAGGCAACCTTGGCTCTTTTATGACTGGTGGACTTCAACTCCCAGAATTCCTGAGCCAGCCACGCTGAGGGGAAGGGGAGAGGTTTCCAAGCTGAGCCATGCTGGCTCAGGAATTCTGGGAGTTGAAGTCCACCAGTCATAAAGAGCCAAGGTTGCCTACCCCTGCCTTAGGGGCTGGGGCTGATTCCTGGGGGCTGGTTTCTGTCTTTTTTTTTTTTTAAAGATCATCTCCATTATTCCTTTGGGGGAAAATATATTCTGCCTTTTTAATATTCCCCCAAATATTCCTTTCTCTGGATTCTTCCCACACCATCATAATGGTATTCAATCTCTTTCTGCCGAAAGGCTAAAATTTCAAGCTCCTTCTTTGAAGGATCTACAGGTGCAATATTAAAAACTCAGTTTATATCTACGTAGGCAGCGAGGAGTCGGTCAATTCTGGCTTGAGCAGCAGCCTGACCAACATCCAATGGCTGGGCAAGATGTCTTCCACGGCGCTGAGCTCCTGTAGCGTGAAGAAGGACACGGAGAAGGAGAACCAGACCCCAAAGCAGAAGACAATTAAGGTAAGCAGAAGGCCAAAGAGCCGTGTGTGTGTGTAATAATATAATAATAATAAAGACAGAAGGGACCTTGGAGGTCATCTAGTCCAACCCCCTGCCCAGACAGGAAACCCTATACCATTTCGGACAAATGGCTGTCCAGTCTCTTCTTAAAAACTTTCAGTGTTGGAGCATTCACAGCTTCTGGAGGCAGGTTGTTCCACTGGTTAATTGTCCTCACTGTCTGGAAGTTTCTCCTTAGTTCCAGGTTGCTTCTCTCCTTGGTTAGTTTCCATCCGTTGCTTCTTGTCCTGCCTTCAGGTGCTTTGGAGAATAGCTTGACTCCCTCTTCTTTGGGGCAGCCCCTGAGATACTGGAAGGCTGCTATCATGTCCCCCCTCGTCCTTCTCTTCCTTAAACTAGACATACCCAATTCCAGCAACCGTTCCTTATATGTTTTAGCCTCCAGTCCCCTAATCATCTTTGTTGCTCTTCTCTGAACTCTTTCTAGAGTCTCAGCATCTTTTTTACATCGTGGTGACCAAAACTGGATGCAGTATTCCAAGTGTGGCCTTACCAAGGCATTGTAAAGTGATTTTAACACTTCACGTGATCTTGATTCTATCCCTCTGTCTTTGTGTGTGTGTGTCTGTCTGTGTGTGTGTTTTTAAGAAGAGATTGGAGTGCTATTTGTCTGAAACAGCACAGGGTTTCCTGGCTGAGCAGGGGGTTGGACTAGAAGACCTCCAAGATCCCTTCCAGCTCTGGTATTCTGCTCTTTTTCTACCAATTCCCTGCGGTTTCATAAGCAGCCCTTAATGATCTCCTCCTGTGAGTCAGGCTTTCAAATCCAGTGCATTGTGATAATGTGTCAGGATGACTCAAAATTCCCGATCACCTGAGCGTTTCTTCACAAAGAGCACATCAGCCACGTAGGCCGGTATCTTTTTAGAAAGTTAAAAAGGTAGATGTAAGACTGGAAGAATGGCTGTGGGCGGGAGGGAGCGGAGCTGCTTTTCAGCAGAAAAAGAAAAAAATTGGATACGCATCTGCCTGTAATTAAAACAAAAAACACAAAAAGGGAAGATTTCAGACCTCCGGAGACGAGCAGAGAACGCCCGTTGTGCATTGAACATGTGGACCAGAACAATTTTAGTGGTGTTTCCCATGATAAAAGTCATGTAAGAGCCCTGGTGGCGCAGTGGTGGGAATGCGGCATTGCAGGCTGACTCTGCCCACTGTCAGGTGTTCTATCTATCCATCCACCCATCCATCATTAATCAATCCATTATCTATCCATCCATCCATATCTATCTATCTATCCAACTATCCATCCATCATTATTAATCAATCCATTATCTACCTATCTATCTGTCTCTGTCTGTCTGTCTATCCAACTATCCAACTATCTATCCAGCTATCCATCCATCATTATTAATCAATCCATTATCTATCCATCTATCCAACTAACTATCCAACTATCCATCCATTATTATTAATCAATCATCTATCTATCTATCTATCTATCTATTTATCTATCTATCTATCTATCATCTATCTATCCAACGATCTATCCAGCTATCCATCATTATTAATCAATCCATTATGTATCCATCTATCCAACTAACTATGCAACTATCCATCCATTATTATTAATCAATCATCTATCTATCTATCTATCTATCTATCTATCTATCTATCTCTATCTATCTATCTATCTATCTATCTATCTATCTATCTATCTATCTATCCATCCATCCAACTATCCAACTATCCAACTATCCATCCATCCATCATTATTAATCCATTATCTATCCATCCATCCATCCATCCATCATCTATTAATCAATCCATTATCTATCTGTCGGTCTGTCTATCTATCCATCCATCCATCCATCCATCATCTATTAATCAATCCGTTCTCTCTCTCTCTCTCTGTTCTGTGGGACCCTTCTTTCTTAATTTCGGCTTTTGCTTCCCTACTCCAGTCCGAAGGGAGTCCCGCAGCGGCCGCCGTCTCTCCGGCTTCATGGAAGGAATCCTTCTCCGAACGGCCCCCCTACTCTTACATGGCCATGATCCAGTTTGCCATCAACAGCACCGAGAAGAAGCGCATGATGTTGAAGGACATCTACACCTGGATCGAGGACCATTTCCCCTATTTCAAGCATGTGGCCAAGCCAGGCTGGAAGGTAAAGCATCCTTTCACCTTTTTAAAAACTTCTCGGAAAAGGTCATTATTGTGAAATTTATTTATTTAGATAATTTGCGTTGCCGTCTACTCGCACACGGCGACTCAAGGCGGCTGAATTAAATAGAAAAACACCCTACATAACAATAAAACGAGAGGGAAAATAATACAACAATATAATAATCCCCTACCCACCCCAACCCAGTGACAACACACATTAAACTAGCCATTTGCTGGGCTTTGAAATATTATAAAAATATACAGCATACAAATTATACCATTTTTTTACACTATAAAATATTACACGGTCGGTTCTCAGCTGACAACCATTTGTTTAGTGACCGTTGAAAGTTACAACAGCAGTACAAAAGTGATTTATGACGGTTTTCCACACTTAGGATGGTTACGTCCCCATGGTCACTTGATCAAAATTCGGACGCTTGGCACCTGGTTCATATTTATGACCGTCGCAGTGTCCAGGGGTCAGGTGATCCCCTTTTGCGACCCCACAGTCATTGTCCTCCTCCTCCTCCTCCTCCTCCTCCTCCTCCTTCTCCATCATTCGACAAACCGTACTCCCTTCCAGCACTGATGATGTTACCTAGTTGGGTCATGAAAGGTCTGCAAGAAAACAAGCAAGCTCAGAGAGCACCAAGGACCCCGCAGTCGTCGTCGTCGTCGTCGTCCTCCTCCTCCTCCTCCTCCTCCTCCTCCTCCTCCTCCTCTTCCATCATTCCACAAACCCTACTCCCTTCTAGCACTGACGATGTTCCCTAGTTAGGCTCATGAAACGTCTGCAAGAAAATAGCCAAGTTCAGAGAGCACCAAGCACCCCACAGTCCTTCTCCTCCGTCCTACAAACCCTACTCCCTTCTAGCACTGATGGTGTTACCTAGCTTGGTAATTAAACGTCTTCATTAACACAGCCAAGCTCAGAGAGCACCAAGGTCCCCGTAATATGGGAATTGCATCGCTTCAACATTACGTCTTTCTTTCCCTCCTAACTTAGCTACCTGTTTTGTCACCGAAACCAATAGATGTTTTGGGTTTGGTTTTTTCTCCCCCTCTGCAATTTAGAACTCCGTGCGTCACAATCTTTCCCTTCACGACATGTTTGTTCGGGAGATGTCTGCCAACGGAAAAATCGCATTCTGGACCATCCATCCCGAAGCAAACCGTTACCTGACCCTGGACCAGGTGTTCAAGGTGAGTAGCAGGTAGGAAAGGAACCTTTCCCAGCGCTTTTTTCCTCTACCGTTTTATGCATCGAAGTGACATTTTATTTAAGTGAAGAGGGAGGCAGGTTGACAGCCAGCAGCTGTTGGGGAGTCCTGCCTTCCGATGCTTTGGAGAATAGCTTGACTGCCTCTTCTTTGGGGCAGCCCCTGAGATACTGGAGCACTGCTATCATGTCCCCCCTCATCCTTCTCTTCATTAAACTGGACATCCCCAATTCCAGCAACCGTTGCTTGTATGTTTTAGCCTCCAGTCCCCTGATCATCTTTGTGGCTCTTTTGAAATATAGAATAATAGAGTTGGAAGGGACCTTAGAGATCCTCTAGTCCAACCCCCTGCTCAGGCAGGAAACCCTACACCATTTCAGACAAATGGCTGTCCAGTCTCTTCTTAAAAACTTCCAGTGTTGGAGTATTCACCGCTTCTGGAGGCAGGTTGTTCCACTGGTTAATTGTTCTAACTGTCAGGAAGTTTCTCCTTAGTTCTAGGTTGCTTCTCTCTTTAATTAGTTTCCATCTGTTGCTTCTTCTCCTGCCTTCCATGCTTTGGAGAATAGCTTGACTCCCACTTCTTTGGGGCAACCCCTGAGATACTGGAAGGCTGCTATCCTGTCCCCCCTCGTCCTTCTCTTCATTAAACTAGACATACCCAATTCCAACAGCCTTTCCTTATATGTTTTAGCCTCCAGTTCCCTGATCATCTTTGTTGCTCTTCTCTGCACTCTTTCTAGAGTCTCCACATCTTTTTTACACCGTGGTGACCAAAACTGGATGCCGTATTCCAAGTGTGGCCTTACCAAGGCCTTGTAAAGTGGTATTAACACTCCACATGATCTTGATTCTATATAAGACCCGGTCTTATTTTTTGGGGGAAAACAGATACTTGTGCTCCAGTAAGATGAATTCTGAAGCCCTCAACCTTGGCTAGCATTTTCCAGGGTGGTGGTCTTTTTTTTTTTTCATTTTATCAAGTTCCCTTCTCAGAATTCTCTTAGGAGTATCGCTCGGGCAGAATTTCAATCCCTTTGGAGAGAAAAAAATCTATTTATACTCCAGTCCTTTTTAAAAAATTTAAAAAGTGCTGTGTCCTACAGCAATCGCCAAAGTGGCATGAAGGATCTTGCCCTTCCGAAAGGAGGCTTCAGCATCGATGTAGACCCGTCCAAATTTAATCGGCGTGACAAGGTGAAATGGTGATTTAAAGAAATGGTGTCGGATAACACTGAGTCAGAGAAATCCCTGTGCAGGAATCCTGGGAGGAGACAAAGTCCCTCATTCTGTTTTTTCCTTGACCGTTCAGAGTGTGTGGCAAATCATCCCTAGCTCTTCTCATTGGAAGACAATCAACAGTCTCCATCTTCCTTCTTCTCCAGGCTGGAAGTCCTTAGAATCATAGAGTTGGAAGGAACAGAAGAAACTTCCTAACAGTGAGGACGATTAACCAGCAGAACAGAAGTTGTGGGTGCTCCATCACTGGAGGTTGTCAAGAAGAGACTAGGGGAGACAGGATAGCAGTATTCCAGTATTTGAGGGGCTGCCACAAAGAAGAGGGGGTCACGTTATTCACCAAAGCACCGGAGGGAAGGGCGAGAAACAATGGTTGGAAACTAATCAAGCAGAGAAGCAACCTGGAATTAAGGAGAAACTTCCTGACAGTGAGGATAATCAACCAGTGGAACTCCTTGCCTCCAGAGGTTGAGAATATATCAGAAGCATTCTAGGGGTGTGGGGTATAGAAAAGGCTGGGAACCACTGCATTAAGGACTACTTCTTGAGTATGGTTTGTCAGCCAGTTACAAATCCGTCTGGTGGTGATGCTGTCTATCCCACATTTTTTTAAAATAAATATTTTATTGGATTTTGTATAAATGAGGAAAAAATAGGGAGAGTGCGGGTATGGGGAGGGAAGGGCATGGGGATTTTGGGATGGAAAGAAGCTAGGTACAGTAGTGGGGAAACCCCCAACAATAATCTCATACTTTAACAAACAAGCTACCGTCCGGATCAAAATAGTAAGTAAACAATTTATATCTTACTCAGCCATTTTAAAATAAGATTAACTATAACCATATTACTAAAGATTGATAAACAGATAAAATTCCTCTATATAGATAAACGTAATCAATAAAATCTCAACTAATCATAATTGTCAACATTAGCAATTAAGAATCACTAAAAATAAAGATGTTATTAGCCTAAGAATAGAAACTTACTTAAAAAATCTATCATCTATTCTAAAATTTTAAGTTTAAGATGATGCAGTTTACTTTAAAACTTGGGAAAAATTTGATCAATGGTTAGAAACATGTTAGAATGTGAAAAGAACTTATCCCACATTTTTCTAGCTTACCAAGAAGTAGATTGTGGTCTACTTTGTCAAATGCCTTGCTGAAGTCTAAATATACTATAATACATAGTAGTAGTAGTAGTAGGAGTTGAGTTGGAAGGGGTTCAGTGTGAAGAACCTCTAGAATTTTCTCCTAAGACTAACCCTCCAGCAATCCCCGTCTTTTGCTCTGTGCAGAAGAGATGGAAGATCTGGGAGGAGGGTTTTTTTTGTTGTTTTTTGTTTTTGCTATTTCACCTGAGTTTTGGGGGAACTAGCCAATAAAGGCAGATCAGAATAACAGTGTTGAAGGGACCTTGGAGGTCTTCTAGTCCAACCCCCTGTTCAAATATGCCATTTCAGAGAAATGAAGGTCCAATCTCTTCTCAAAAACCTCCAGTGTTGGAGCACCCACAACTTCCGGAGGCAAGTGGTTCCACTGGTTAATTGTTCTCACTGTTAGGAAATTTCTCCTTAATTCCAGGTTGCTTTTCTCCTTGGTTAATTTTTCCATCCATTGCTTCTTGTTCTGCCTTTGGAAAACAGGTTGACTCCCCTCCCCACTCTTCTTTGGGGCAGCCCCTGAGATATTGGAAGGCTGCTATCATGTCCCCCCTAGTCCTTCTTTTCATTAAACTAGACATACCCAATTCCAGCAACTGTTCCTTATATGTTTCAGCCTCCAGTCCCCTGATCATCTTTTTTGCTCTTCTCTGCACTCTTTCTAGAGTCTCAACATAATTTTTACATCGTGGTGACCAAAACCGGATGCCGTATTCCAAGTGTGGCCTTACCAGCGCAGTATAAAGTGGTGTTAACGCTTCTTGTGATCTTGATTCTATCCCTCTGTTAATGCAGCCTTGGATTGTGTTGGCTTTTTGGGCAGCTGCCGCACACGGCTGGCTCATCAACTCCACTTGCTGCTTTACCTTCAATCAGTCCTGGCCTGTTAGACTCTTAACTTTCTTTTTTCTTCTCTCTCGATCTCAATGCAGCAGCAGAAACGTCCAACTTTGGATCTGCAGAAGAACGCGAAAGGCACCAAAACGGAGCCCCAGATTTCCCGTAAGTATCGGATTGTCTTCTTGCAAAGCCCTTACTCCATGCCGGTCATCGGAGGAAGCAAATGGAAGCCCTTTGGCTGATTGGAAGGACAGATTGTAAGGGTATATAGGAATGACCTTGGGAAACGGTGGCAGGGGGAATAGATTTCCCAACAGTTAGAACAATTAGTCAGTGGAACTACCTGCCTCCAGAAGTTGTGAATGCTCCAACACTGGAAGTTTTTAAGAAGAGACTGGACAGCCATTTGTCCGGAATGGTATAGGGTTTCCTGCCTGAGCAGGGGGTTGGACTAGAAGACCTCCAAGGTCCCTTCCAACTCAACTACTACTACTACTACTATTATTATTATTATTAGTAGTAGTAGTAGTATTATAGTACTAGCTGTACCTGGCCACGCGTTGCTATGGCTCAGTCTGGTTAAATGGAAAAGAAAGAAAAGAGAAAGCGCACGTTTGTAATATGTTTTTGTTTACATAAAATTGCTTTTACGTCCAACAGATGGCGCTGTTTTTCTTAAAAAAGCATGTTTTTACCTGTCACAGGTGTGACATCTATATAATAGTAGGTATATAAAAACACGCGCGTATTCGAATGCAACGTTGTGTCAAAATTTCAAAGCAATCGGTGAAGAACTTTCGGAGATTTAAGATTTTGAACAAGCAAACATTTACATTTTTATTTATATAGATAGATAGATATTTAGACTTCAGCAAGGCATTTGACAAAGTAGACCACAACCTACTTCTTGGTAAGCTAGAAAAATGTGAGATAGACAGCATCACCACCAGATGGGTTTGTAACTGGCTGACAAACCATACTCAAGAAGTAGTGCTTAATGCAGTAGTTCTCAGCCTTTTCTATACCCCACACCCCTAGAATGCTTCTGATATAGTCTCACACCCCTTAACAAAAGTTCAAAACGAATTCTGCTTATACACTATACTTTTGAAACTTCTAAACCCAGGTTTTCACACACCCCTGGGATATCGTCTCGCACCCCCGGTTGGGAACTCCTGCCTTAATGGTACTACATCTACATGGAGGGAAGTAAGCAGTGGGGTACCACAAGGCTCCATCTTGGGCCCGGTACTCTTCAATATCTTGATTGATTGATTTTCTTTCTTAGGGCCAAGGATTAAGCCCTTGCTGCCACGGGTCAGTTCCTACGTGGTTCCAGTCCACTTCCCGACGGGCGAGCCATTCCATCTCCCGTTGCCTTCAAGGCCACCTCTGCCCGCAGGCCAGACTGCCTTGGGGACCATGCCGGGCAACGCAGCGGAGCGCCCTGCGTCAAAGGTTAGTCTCCTACGTCTCCTCGCTTTGCTCGGGTCCACGTTTGTCTGAATGCTCCAGGCTAACCTCAGCACCCGTGGAATCGGGCCCAACTGTCTCCAAGGCAGTTCTCCCATGCAGATGGGCTTTCCCAAAGGTGAGGTAGGAGGGCTTTGGCTAGCCTAAAAAAAGCCCCTTAGAAAAGGAGTAGATGTCCCCGGGAACCGAGCAGGATCTTGGCTAGAAGTGGGTTTATTTTTCCCTGCCCTCTGCCATCCTTATCCACGTGGGTCTGGCCCTTGGCCTTTGCTCCCCGCTTCCTTTCATTCCTTCTCACGAGGCTGATTCCATCTTCAAGACTGTTATGACCCGGGGTGGGGGTTAGGGTTAGGGTTACTGATTAAAATCAATCTGATTTTAATCAGTAACAATCCACCGTAATTCCTGCCTGCTTACCTCCAGCTTCTAGTTCCAGACCTTTCTTTTCTAGATTGTTCTCGAACGTTCGCCTTCGATCCTGAAAAAAAGGAAAGCAGACAGATGCTTACTTTTTATTCAACCGACATGAGTTTTTTTTTAATATACATCAGCTTTTAAACATAGTTCTTTTGCATCAGAAGAGAGAGAGGGAGAGGGAGGCAGAGAGAGAGAGAGAGAGAGAGAGACTTATTTAGATATGTTCAAAATAAGGGGAAAACGACTAAATTATGACTGTTTTTCACACTTACGACCGTTGCAGCATTCTTACAGGCACATGATCAAAAATTCGGACGCTTGGCCACGAACTCGTATGTTATTTTTAGAAAACCCCAACTTAACAAGTGCAGCGATTCCCTTAACAATTCGGACAAGAAAGGTTGTAGAATGGGGCAAAACCCAATTAACAACTGTCTGGCTTAGCAACAAAATGTTGCCCTCAATTGTGTCGTAAGTTGAGGACTCCCCGTACAGGATCTCCGGCCAAATGCATAGAGTCCCTCAAAGTTGTTGGAGATCCCTCTTGGCTGAAACGGCCCTCTAATTCCTGAATAAATGGAGGTTAAGCACAACGGTCAGTTTAGGAGGGCAAAATAAAATTCCCACGCCTAAAAGATAACTAAACCCCCGGGGGAGAATGTGTCTAAAAATGAAGAGTGTTGTCGTCAGCTTCTTCCTTCCCATGTTGGTTTTGCAGATCCTGCGCTCCAGCGACGAACCGGTCCTGTTGCCTTCTCCGAGCTCCATAAAGGAGGAACAATATTGCGGCGAAGAGTCTTGTTCATTAAACCCACAGCGCCCTCTTGAGGGAGGCAGCTGTACAGACAGCGGAAAACCATCGGCGGGAGTTCTGAGCGACAGTTTTCTCTCCCCGGAGTGGGTCTCCCCTTTCCTCCCGGTATGGCCTGTGAAGGAGGAACCAGCAGGAGCTGGTGAAGAGCAGAACCTCCGTGTCCAAGCATCCCCCATAAAACAAAAGAGACAGGTTACAGGGGTCAGGTCAGCCCCCCAAAGTACGCTGGTTATAAAGAGGCAAGAATTGGGCAGATCCAGACGGAAGCAGCACTTAGCCCTCTCTTCCTCAGAAGAACCGGTTCTCCTTCTGCCCCTCGGTGGTGGTGGCTCAACGTCCTTCCTGATGAGACAATGTCCTTCCAGTCTGGAGGAACCTCTAGCAACCCTTGTCTGTGGTCCAGAAGAAGACCCTCCAGTGAATTGCAGGCTGCCCAAAGCTTCCACCCCCAATAAAGCGCCCATAACCACCTCTATACCCCTACCACCTACTGACCAGTGGAGATTGACCCCTTTGGTCAACGAAAGGAGCACGGTTGATTTCAGTTCTCCGAGATCTTCTCCCTTGCCCTTCCTGCCCTTCCAGGAGAATTTAGATCTGGAGTTTAATGAGACCTCACTGAGACAATCCTTGGGTGACTCTCCCCAGTGTCCACTTCTGAACGCAGAAATGGGTGAAATAGTTCCTGAACTCTTGGACACTTCTTCCCCATCCAGCAAGGTGGCCTGTGAGCTTCCAGGGGACAACTCCCTTCTGGAAGACCTTGTTTTGGAGAACATGCCTGAGAACTGGAGCAAGCTCTCACTGGACCTCAGTTTTCCAGACCCCGAGAACCTGGAGACCGATCTGAGCTGGTCACAGCTCCTTCCTCACCTAAAATGACCCAGTTGGGCTCCCTGCAAATAACCTCACCTGGGCGGCACTTTCAGAAGACCCCAGTCCCATACCTTACTGTCTTGGCCCTTCAGCAAGTATGGCTCTTGATTAACTCAGAGGTCACCCGAATGTAAGGATCGAGGAAGCCTTAGCCACGATAGGTTGAAGGAAGACTCCCTGTCCTGTTTTCTACACCTGCTTCTTTGCAGATGATGGTTTGGGCAAATCTAGGACACTCCCGTAAGGGGTAGGATGGAAAGCTCCAGAGCTGTCAATAGTTTTGGAGACAACTTCTAGAGCTTCCGCTGAAGGAAAGATTCATCTATTGAAAGGTGTCTGGGCTACCCAAATCACATCTTACCTAGCCTTGGGCCTTAGATGTTAATCCCTTGATGCTTTGGGGGTGATTGCTCTTTTCTCCCCTGCTCTTATTTTAATAAGAGAAGCTTGATCTGGACACATCTCATTGCTAAAATCTGAAAATTAGGTTCAGGGCTTCCCGACGGTCACAAAACAATAAAGTTGGTGCCTCTCCACGGGATTCCTGCCACATCTGTAGCCTAAAGCATCATGAGAAGTGTTTTAAGAGGCCACATTTAGCTAACACTAAAGTGGGATCTGCTTATCTAGAGGCTGTGGCGTTTTACCTCTAGCTAACATGTGTTGCGCCTGCACAAATCGCCAGCACTTAAAGCCACAAAGCAGATCCCAAGTTCCCCTGCCAGGCGTCGGAAGCCTGAACGCAAAACCCAGAGGCCACATCTCTGGTTCCCCAAGATTGCTGAAAAGTTGGGCTTCTCGGTCTGCAGGCCAAGTAATTTTTTTCCCCCCCGTGGGGTTGTGGAGCTGGAAGTAGATTTAGTTCCTTGATTGAGTCGTTCCAGCTGCCTTGATAATCTCCAGCAGGAGGTCCCCGTGTCGAGCGAACTGACACTCTGAAGCTGATAGATTCCTGCCTCTGTAAAGTTCTGGAGGACAGCTTTAAATCGAGGCTTTCCTCCATCGAAACAATCCGGCCTGCTCTTTTTGAGGGGGTTTTAAAAGCAGAAACCGGAGCCACGTCCGTCCGGGCCAGACCGTGCGTTCGTGATCCTCGCAAGGGCAATAAAACCCGAGTGCCTGTCCTTTCTTCCACATCATTTCGTGCTCTTAAAAAAATCCTGCTTTGGCCGCCTCTGAAGAAGGAAGGCGGAGGAGGGAGCAACTGAAGTGAGGCTCGGGGCACGGCGTTCCGATCTCGGCCCAAACCGGAGGCCTCCAGGTTGACACGAGACTGGTGCTTCAGAAGAAGTGCCGAGTTGTCTCGGAATGGGGGTCTTTTTGTGCTGGAAAAACGGGGCTGGGTGGTCCCTGAAACGACGCTAACTAGAGCAGGTGCAGAGATGGTCTGAGGAATCTCACTGCCCCCAAGGCTGTGGTGGTCACTGGTTAGGTTTTGTGGGAGCCCACGGCTTCTTCCTCTTAAGCCCTCGGCCTTGTTCTCTGCCTGAGCACGCTTTGTCATTTTATTGTCGTTGTCTTTCTGCCTTCCTTCCAAAGCGGTGTTAGGTTCTGTCTGGGCAAGCTTCTCATCTTCAGGAACCGGAATCACCCATGAAAAAATTCCCTCTGGTTGGGATAACGCTGCAAGACCGATTCCCTCGGGTCCAGCTGGCTGGGCTGATGGGGAGGCAGACGGGAGGACCACAAAATGCATATTTTCTTGCTTGCATTATTATTTTTTCTTTCTTTCCTCTTCTGGCCAGTTTCCTCAGCTGCAAGAGCATCGCCTCCTTTGCCAAACCAATATCCCGGCACGCCCTCCTTTAAATATTTGGAAGCTCCCTTCCGTGCGTGTGCCTGGTTATCGTTTTTCTCGTGGGTTCCTAACTCGGCGGAGGCTCTTAAAATCGGCGTTGCTGTGCGATAGCTCTTCCGATGTTTCCGCGGCGATTTTTTTCTTTGCACTGCTCCGGCTTGCAGCAAACTCGACGCAAATGTAAATCTAGCAATGGTAAATAAACTCTCCCCTTCGAATCAGCCTGATCCTGTGTGACTTTGGTGTGCTTTTCGTTGAGACAACACAAACTTAGTGGGCCGTTGTTTCCTCCAGGAAGTTTTTCCCAACACGGCATCCAGCCCCGTTGGTCTCCCATCTGATCAATTCTGATGCCATCCATCAAATGTCTTTATGCACGTTGTGGGTGTTTCATCACTAGAGATTTTTAAGGAGAGACTGGACAGCCACTGGTCTGCAATGGCATAGCATCTCCTGCTTGAGCAGGGGGCTGGACTAGAAGACCTCCAAGGTCCCTTCCAACTCTATTCTATTCTATTCTTTTTTTCTTTTCTATTCCTCGTATCATATTGTCTTTTTGTATTTTATTCTATATTTCTATTCTATTCTTTATTTCTATTCTATATTTCTATTCCATTCCATTCCATATTTTCTGTTCTGTTCCGTTCTATTCCATTCCACTCCACTCCACTCCATTCTTTTTTTTTTTTTTTTTTGTAAAAGAATTTTTATTATTTTCAAATATAACAAAATATAAACATAAACTTGATGCATATAAATACAAAACATCAGTACACAAAAGAAAAGATACTTTACGGGTGGTCCCGGCTGTCCCCTCTCCGCTTCCCCCTCTTTCACATACCACCTTCCTCCCACTATACTCTCAACCACTCCACCTTC